GGGGCGGCACAAGCGTGTATAAATATTCGAGCACGCAGCTGTAACGTACTCGTCGTGGAAAGCGTTATGGCGTACGCTATCGCGGCTTTACGCTCAACCGAGAAATCCCCGTTCACGTAAAGCCTGTCATCCAGAAAAATCAGATTTTAACGATCATCCCACTCACCCCGCCCACGCGCACCCCGATTCTACGCTAACATTTTTTTGTTTACATCGTGCCTCGAACCACCAGTCGAAAATATTAATTAACGCCGTCGCCCCCCATCCTTTCTTCGAATTATTCCCTTGATTTTATTTCCTCCGCCCCGCCCCCTCGCGCGCCTGGCTTTCAAAACAAATGCACTCGTTATTTTAACGAAATTTCCAGAAATAATTCCCGCTGGAAAATCATCGCGGTGAGCGGGTCTGTCTGTCACTTAGAGACAACACCGGAGGATCGTACGAAATACAATCACCGGTTGGAAATCACGTGAAACGCGTAGCAGCGGAGCCTGGCTACTTGATAAAATTTCCGTGAAATTTATTCAAGCGACACCCCTCTCCGGCCGCCGCTTCTGCATACAAAAGAGTAGCCAGCGGTAAACACGCGTAATTGCGATAAATCTGAATGGCGAGCGCCAATTACGTGCTGGAGGTAACCTGCGAGAGTGCGTTAATGGGTTCAAGTGAACGGTGTAGGGTAAATTGCGCTATCTCTGTTTCAGGTTTGTCCGAACGGTAAATCTACCGCGAAGTATATTTAGTGCGTGGTCCTCGTAAATTCGCGAGGGTGCCGCTCGAGCGGCGAGCAGAAGAGAGAAAGAGGAAGCGGCGCTGGGGGGAGAAAGGGATAAGTCGCGGACGGCCATCGTAAAAATTGCGGTAGATCGTTGGGGAATAGTTTCTTATAAAATCTTATTCGAACCGGTTTCGTCTCTCTCCGTGGGGGATAAATAATGCGCGCGAGTCGCGCTCTTTCGCGGGTATTTATCGCGTTAACGGCCCTCGGCATATGTCCCCTGTCAGTTTTTTCATACGCTTTAAACGCGCACCGACGTACGACAAACTTGCGGCAGACAGCACCACCAGCCCTCTTCTTCTTCTCAAAGAGAACTTTTCCGCCGCGATTCCTTCTCTTCTCTCTCTCCCTTCTCGCGTCCCGGAATATGTACGTCTATCCCCTCTCCGGGAGTAACGAGCGACGCTTCTGCACGCGATTCCGCGAGATAAAAACGAACGAGCCGCGATTCAGACGCGCCAAATTCGTCGGTGACGAAAATACGCTTTATCCGCGAGGTGAGACCGAAGGTGCTACCCGTGATTTCCCCCAGGAACGTATCAATGGGACAATCTACCATTCCAGGAACCCACTGTTCTCTCACGTGTGTAGTTTCGTCTCGATATTCTCGTTGAATTTCTTCTCGGAGGGTAACCCCCGTAGATCTTTCCCCGGATTGCAGCAGAAATGCAATTTTACACGCGTAATATATGTTTCCCTTTTTTTTTCTTCTTCTTCAATAAGCCGAAGGGAGGAGAAAATGCGAGTAAAATCGGTTAGAGATGTACGCTGATGATACTCTACTTGTGGGCTGGCGAGCACGCGAGTGCCGCGAACGACACGTCTACCAGCGTTCGTACGTCTCGTCGCGGTTAGTTAACCGTGCTATAAATACGACCACGTCGGCATAACATTATTTTTCCAAAGAAACGTCGCGAACACATCGGCCTGTCTCTTCTCCTTCTTCTCTCTCGTCTGGTTCGGTGTCTCGAAATTTTACGCGAAACTTCTACACGTCTAACTTACCGATAAACCAGAATACTTTTTCCCGTCACTCCGAATATAACCCAACTATTGATAGAACCGAAGAAAAAGAGCACGTTGTAACGATATCTCTGGACGTTTTTTTTCTTTTTCTGATTTCAGATGCGCGGAAGGCTTCACGGGTCTGCGGTGCGAGACGAAGGACGTCATCAGCACCGGAAGTGTGTACAACCGGCGTAGGGCGCCGTTTTCCTGCAAGCTGGGACTATCGACCTCGTACTACTGCTAGCGATAATCGCGCGGGGCCCTTCCATATCTGAGTAGACCCTTTTCTAAACGTTGAACTCGGTGTACTCGGTCACAGAATCGGTCGAAACGGAAAATAAACGAGAAAAAAGGAAATGAAAGAAAATGAACAAATGCAGCCTCTCGAGCCCACGAGAAGTATGTCGTGAGAGGGCCAACGCGCGACCAAATAACGAACGACCAAGAGGCGATTATATTAAATAATAATGATAATAATAATATTAATACAATTGTCGATCTCAGGATCGAGACGAGATTATATCTGCGAACGAAACGCAGCGACGAAACACGACGAGAACTTTGAGCAGGGGAAATAACGAAATAATAATAATAATAATAAAAAAAAGAGAGAGAAAATAACAAAACAGGAGCGAATCTTTGCGCGGATTTTTTCTTTCGGGAACCGTTGTTTTCGGGCATTAGAACGAGAGTCCTCTGTATCGTAGGAACAGGTTCCAAGAAAAATTCGGTGTCTATTTTTTTTTTCTTTCTTTCTTTATGGTACCGGGCATTTCGTGTAGTACCTTCTTCTATCACTTCTTCTGTTTCCAATTTTCAACCGCACCACATCTCGTCCACGACGAGAGATTTCGTGTCTCTTCTACTATTTACTATTTTATTCTATACGTCTCCCCTTCGAGCCTTCCTCTTCTATTCACTTCTAACTCTGTTACTTCGCTGTTTTATTTTCTTTTTTTTTTTTCTTCTCTAGAAAAAGTTGTCGCGTTAATGACACGTGCCTCGCGTCTCTATATATAGAAATTTTATTCGCGACAGAGAGAAAGAGAGAGAGAGAGAGAGAGAACCGTACGGGAGAGAGAGTATGTGTGTGCATGTATACGCGTGAAAGGAAAAACTGAGAGATAGAGGGTGTGCGCGCAAGGGAAAAGAGTTATGGCGGATTCTTGCCTGTCCCGAACCCCTTCGGTTTCATATCGGGGAAAGGCAGAAGAGAGCGTTCGAGTGACGCTCGTGATTCAGAAGTGGTGCTTGACCTCGAAAGATCGCGAACCGAAAGAGGGAGGATGAGAGTATAAGAAAAGAAGCAGCTAGAAGAGCGTTCGGAGGTCGCACTTTTCGTAGTCTCCACTGGGGGAGAACAATACCAAAGAGCCCATGGTCTCGATAAAGGACGTCGTGAGAAATGTCGAAATGTCTCTAGGTCGACGTAAATATATAAAGAAAAAAATAAAGAAGAGAAGAATCTACACGGCGATGGGAACAAAGCAATCTCGAAACGCGTTTAATATACATTGTGTACTGTATAACGGCAGAAAGACCTCGAGGATTCTTCATGGACGAAACAGAAAAGAAAAATGTAAAGGTTGTAAAAATGATTCGAGGTTAGCACGCGATTCGAGATTTCGCGGCGAGAAAAAAGAGCAGAAAAAAAAAAAGAAATAACACGCGGACGAAAAGTCACACGCTTGACACCCATTGCTACTCGTTCTCGGTGGCTTCCCTTCGCGTCGCGATGGAAGCGAGCATCGTCGTTGTTCGTGGAGGAGGGCTGGCATCTTTTGTCGGTCGTTGTTGGAAAATGTGGGCCACACCGGTGGAGCGTAAACTTGCGAGCAGAGGAGAGAGAGAAAAAAAAGATGCTTGTCGCGCGAGGAACGGGGCCTAACGACGCCACGCGCAGGAGAGAACGAGAAACTCGATACACGCGTGTGTGTTGTGTGTGTGTGTGTGTGTGTCTGGCTGAAAATTTCTTTTCGTATTTTTGCCACGGGAGAGACAATCCGAGAGAAGGAAAAGTTGCGCGTCGATCGATTGTGTCGCGCTGACCGGAATAAATATCGTAATTCACTCGTCACCCGCGCCAAATTATCCTCGTCCTCGGTTCTTCTCACCTCGTCTTCTCCCCTTCTTCGCTTCGTTTCTCTTTCCCGGAATTTTCCAGCAACGATTGATAAGGGACTGGTAACCTCCTTACGAATTGTAAAAATATCGCGGCGAGAGGAAGAGAGAAAGGAGGAAATTGGCTGCTTGAGCCAGAAAGTCGATGCAGAGAGCGAGAGAGAGAGAGAGAGAGAGAGACCACTAGGCAAAAACGATTTAATGTAAAATATGATAATGTAATACGCGTTAAGCTAGCTAAAGCAGAGACTTAAGGTAGTTAAAGGAAATAGAGAGAGAAAGAGGGAGTGTGTGAGAGAGAAAGGGAGAGAAAGAGTGAGAATGTGTAAAAGAGAGAGAGAGAGAGAGAGAGAGAGAGAGAGAGAGCAGAAATATCGCGACGATCAGGAAATGGGCACGTTGGTCGAGAACTTTCCGAACGAGACGATTGGATGCGTCGAAGAAGTTTCAGGCACGTTGGAAACTTTCTTTTTTTTCATATTCCTCGATTTTTATCCGAATATTTTTTCAATCATTTTTTATTCTCCTGAAAATGTGGTTTTTCTTCCATCGTATCTACGAAAAGGTCGCTTCCTTTGCCGCGCCGGTAGTTTATATACATGTACTTTTTTTCTTTTTGTTTCCTCCCTCGTAAAAACACGCGACTTTGCTCGACGTGCAGCAGAAAGAAAGTGGAACGATGATATTTTGGGCGGACACGATGGCGAATCGATCTCTTCCGGAATTCTCGACGTTACGGGTTCGCGCGCGCGAGTGGAGAAAAGAGGAAAGATCGGAAAAATTGAGAGAACGGAAGGGAGGGGGCGTGTGGGATGCGCGCAATTCATTAATTTTATTGATTTTACGATTAAACGTCATCTCCATCTCGGCAACCGCCTTTGTTTTTAATCTTACGTTGTCACCTTTACGTTTAACATACACTTCTTTCTTACATTATAGTTCTATTCGTTTATCATTATTCCACGAGGCATTTACGTTAAGTTCCCCCGTAAAAAAAAAAAAAAAAAAAAAAAAACGAAAGATCGCCATCAGGTAGGTGTACGCGAACTCTTCCCTTTCGTCGCGAAAGAAAAGAAGAAGAAAAAGAAATTCGATTACCGCCCTCGTTCGCTTCGACGAGCGTCCCAAACAGACCAAAATGGACGACGATCGCGGCCGATTAAGTCCCCGGGATCCTCACCCAAGTTTTCGACAATGGCGCTGAATCTCGTATAGCGAGACAAAAGGGGAAGGTAAATGCACCGGCACGCGAAACGACCGATTCGAGACAAAAGATTCTTCCCCCGTGCCACCACCCCCCAGTCCCATGCAGAAGAAGGAGAAGAAAGTTCATAGACGAATTCTGGAGGGCAGCAGAGCGAGGCAGAAAGAGCAAGAGAGAGTCGCGAGAGACGAAAAGAACCCTCGAAGAAAGCCAATAGAAATTTTCATAGCTAGCAAAGAGTTTCTCGTCTGCCGCCTTTACTCTCTTATTGCATTCCAACGAGTCGTTTCGAGAACAAGTCACTTCTCTTCTCCCTCCTCTCTGTGGAAATAGCTTTCCACCTCGGTGTGTTCCACAGGGGCTGGAGGTGGAGAAGGGGGTTGGGAAAGGCGATAAACAACGCTGAACGGGGAACGCGACGTTGCGTTTTCATTTCGAGAATTGTCAAAGAGCCCCCATCCGGCGCTACAATCAGAAGGACCGACTCGATGCGCGAGGACAACGCGGGCTAAAAAACAAAAAAAAAGAGAGAGACAGAGAGAGAAAGAAGGAAGGAGGGAAGAAAAAACGAAACAATTCTCTGGAAAGCATCTCTCGTCTGCGCGCGCGCACTTGGTTCCCCGGAACCGCGTCGTATTCCGCGAGTGGATCCCTCGTAAAAAGCACAAACTCCATAAAACTCGAACCGTACGACCACATCGATCCTTGTAACCGCTTCTCTTAATCGAACTTCGTCCCTCGAACGCAACTTCCCTGTCGGAATTGGGGGTCAGTGACCTCGGCGGGGAAGTTCTGTCGGTGGAAGGAGGGATCGGTACTTGGCTCTCGATGGCAGAGAGATACAGCGCGGAGAGATCGGTGGACGAAAAAGTTGCGAGAGGCGTGTCCGACTTGGGTACCAACCTGTTACACACAGTCCGGTGAAAATCTCGTTTAAAAATGCTCGATAACTCACGGATAAGTTGGCTAGGGGGCAACGAACGATAAATTAATGTGCAACGCCGGTCTGGCAGCGGCTCGAAAATAGAAACGATTTACTGGGTTACCCCTCGTGAAATATAATCGACTACTCGTGGCAGACACGCCGTTTAAATTTAATGCAAACTCTGGTTAAAAGAAGCTCTCACCGGAGGAATAATCACGTTGCATCGATTCGATCAATTTTAATGGTCACCAGAGAGGAAATTCGATTTGCCTCGTCGCGGGAGAGAGAGAGGCTACACACCGTCGACGAGAATTCGCAACAGCGCGCGCGTCTCCAACTAGGCTACGAAAATAGAAATACGAATCGAAACGCGTTGCGCTTCTCTCACTCTCTCTCTCTCTCTCTGGTAAATTTGTTAACCACGATTCGCGTGGTCGAAGGAGAGAGAGAGAGAAAGAAAGTGTTGTGTCGTTCTTTTGCACAGTTCGAAAATCAGCTCCAAAAAAATAAATTGCAACGTGCTTTCGCGGCCTTTTATTTTCGTTGGTGCGATTTTTATCGCCGGCTCTCTATTTCTGGCAGACCTTATTTTTCGCGCGTTTCCTTCGCGACGGCGTCGATTTTCGCGAAAAACGCGGTCGCGGGTGAAATAAAACGCATGAATATCTACCTGGTGAGGCTGTATTAAAGCTGTCCGGCGCATGTACGCCAAGAGAAATTGCTTCTTACGCGACCGCTGCCCTTGCCCGGAAATTCATTCGCTTTTCCATCCCCCGGGCTCCGACCGTGTTTTTTCGCCCTCGAACAAAGGCTACGACAAGTGTTTCACGGCTAACACAACGGAGGGAACAGGCTGTTTCCGTGTCGAAAAATTCGTCCACGATTGTACGATGAATTTTACGTAGCGGTTACTACCTGGAGTAAAA